CTATTGCAAGAAACCACCGAAGACAGAAAGCTCGCGGCAGCTATGTTGCGATACAACAGTATAAAATGTATGGTAACTAAAACAGTTTTCTGTAACGAAGCAAGAAGTTTCAAGTTTTTTATGCGTTTTTTGCAGCTATGCAATGCAGAAAACGCATATTGACGAGAGGTTGTCTATGTATGTGTATGTGTGTGTGTGTGTGTCTGTGTGTCTGTGTGTGCGTCTCTGTGTTCGTCTGTATCGATTTTTCATCTCGAGACCGGCAAAAGCTACAGCGCAGAAACTTTGGGGACATAATCTACATGCACGTACGGGCCCCCATCCCCAAAATGGACGGTCTCACCCGCGTGGTACTCACGTAAGACCCCGCCAAAGTTTTTTACGGGTAAGCTGCTAACCCGGAAATCAGAAATGCTTGGGCGCTGAAATTTTAATAAGCTCAAACCCAACCCCCGGGTAGGCGTGGTACCCGCGTACGAGTCCTCCAAAATTTTTCCCGCGCAAATTCATAGCTCGGGGTTTTGGGACGCTAGAAAGCTGAAATTTTAAGGGGATGTTTTCTGACAGTTCTGGCAGCCAGTCTTAACTTGTTTAGCTAGAAGCATTTGCTGAAAAAGCCGGTGCCGGTAGCAACAGAAACAGCGGGGAACCATGCAAAAAACGCATCTTCGCACGGGCAGTCCGTGTGTTGGCCAATTATTTTTTTTTTTTTCTTCAGAAAGTTCCCTAAAAACCATCAATTATATTTCTTCGTTACAAGTTCGTACAGATTTTTGACCTGTAAAATGTCCCATTGTGTGCTGCTACTGGCACAGTCATCTGGATTTAGGCTTAATTCTTGTAGAAAGTTTTCTGAAGTCTGTTCACCAAATCTGCTGGCGCTGAAAAGTTTAAAGTTGTTTGTAGAACTGTTTCTTTTTTTTACTTTTTGTAAAGAATTTTTACTTCATTCGGATCTGGCAAGTGCAAAAATGCTTTAGTTCCGGAAGAGCACCTCGAGGAAAAACGAAACGCTGTATTGAAAAAACCAATATTTTCAACTGCTTCACCATCGACCTCGTCCGCGGCCGAGAATTCTCCGAAAGAATTACTCGCCGCGAAACTTAACAGTAATAAAAGTAACAGAGCCTTCGACAGTGCTTCGAAGTCAAACGAGAACAGAAGAGCAAAAGTTGCTGGAACGCTTGGTGTTGTGGTCACCAAGAGGGTGAAAAAGCAGAACGAGGACGACTTCCATGACAAATGCGATGTGAAGACGGTAATACCAATTTTTTTTCGGAAATTTTTGGCTTCGTTTTGAGTTTTCTTTTTCTATTATCTGATAGTGATTTTGAAATTACGAAAGTTATGAAGCAGCGAATTACCGAGCAAGTGCTAAATTACAGGTTTGATCAAAAAGCACAGATATTCTGAAGAAATTTCGGCCACTGTTTTCCGGCTAGTTTTCGAGCTAGTACAGCTCCAAATTCAAACTTTGACGTGACGGTACGTGCTGCACAGGCGTGCGCAGTGGCTGAATTTGAAATCTTCAGCTCGCGGAAAAGAGGGAAAACGGAAGGCGAGGGAATTGCTGTTGTAGTCATGCATGTAATTTTGCTACTCAATTTCACTGTAGTATATTTAGGAAGATTTGGTTGATGTTAAGCCCATCAGCGGGGAACTTTGCTGTTCTGACGATCGGAAGCCAACTTGTGCTGAAGAATTATCAAAAGATTGCGTAATCGGAGCGAAGTCACAAAGAATAGGCAGTGCGCGTCTGTCTTTGGTGGCAGACTATGGTGGTGATAGTTCATCTGATACATCTGTTTAGTGTCTCCCCTTTCGTATCTTTTCCATGCACAGTGTAAAATAAGTGACATTATAAATTTTATAAATTTGAGATACAGTGTGTACAGAACTGCTGTAATTTATGATTTTTTGTAAGGCATGTTAACTGCGCTAACTTTGCTGAAATAGCCAGTAATATCTATAAACTCAGACTGCAACTCAACACCACCTACTCCGGACAAAGCGCCTGTTTCTTAAACCTCGAAATTTCGTGCCAAGAGAGCAGATGAGAATTTGTGAAAGTGACGTTTTAGCAACAATTTTTCATTCATCCACACCAATGTTCCTTTACGCATTGACTACAACTCAATTGCTTCCGCTGCTACCGGTGGTTTAGGTGTCTGACTTGGGCCTCAAGTACTTGCATGCAAAGCAAGAATGCATAGTGAAGAGGCCACAGGTTTGTTTCTACATGTTTGCATGCACAGCATGTAACACTACGAAAGCCGAGAAGCGAAGATTTTGAAGATAATTCGGCTTCCTGGGATAATCCGACTTTTGAGTTCTTGTTCTCGTGTCTTTTTCGTGAACGATTGCTTTCTGAATGCTTGTCCTGCAGTTGTGGTGTTATGAAGTTGTCTTATGAAATGAAACTTTTGATTTGGATTTGAAGTGATTCCTACTGAAGATTCTACTCTACCTATTTTTTGAGTACACTCTCCTTGAGGACATATGTTTTAGTGGATGGTACGAGCTACCGTAGTGCCATTCACCACAGTTTTTCTGTGTCTTGACTGTTGGATTTCATTTCTAGCATTTAGTTTAAGAGAAAACATAGGTTATATTACTATTAACTGTTTTTTGGTATTTGGAAAATCAAGTACTTCCCAATGATTTATTGCCTTTTTCTATCTGTATTTTACAAATCGTATCCGAGCACTAGTCTTTAGAGAATTTTCCTTCCTCCCGCCCGTTAACCTTTGATCACTCATATGTATAAAGAGCCCTAACTAATGGCAAAACAAAATGACGCGCTGAAATTTTGCCAGTTGGTTCCTCGGCCAAATGCCACTCAAGGGCCACGGCAGTAATTTTCATGTACGCCTGGGCCCAGTTACGAGCAATTGAGAGTTTTGGCGGAAAATCGCTAACCCGGGAACCAGAGAGGCTAGGAAGCTGTATGAGATGTCCCCTGACAAGTACCGCGTAGTTGCACAATTAACTTCCTGAAGTTCGAGGACTAGTATACCACAAATTCTAGTTGCTGGAACTCCAAACGATCTTACTACAGCATGAAATGCTGCAAAAACGCACGACCGCACGGGCCAACCTGGTGCTCGCCGCTAGTGATTTTTATTATGCGTTTTGTGCTGTGTAACAGCAGTACAAAATGCATATTGTCACGGAGTTGACTGTGTGTGTGTGTGTGTGTGTGTGTGTGCGTGTGTGTGTATGTGCATGTGTGTGTGTGCGCGTGTGTGTATGTGTGTGTGTGCGTGTGTGTGTGCCCCACATTTTATCCCACACTTTCAACTCGAGAACCACAAAAGCTAGGCGGCTGAAATTTTAGTATAGTGTTCCCCGCCAACGGGTGACGCGGCAAACTTAAATTCGGCCTTCCCGTACCCGCGGGTAACACATACGGCCCAGTAAAGTTTTTCGGGTAAATTCAGTGTCTCGGGAACCACGGAAGGTAGAAGGCTGAAATTTTGTGAGCATGTCCCCCGCCCACGTGCTACCCAGAAAATTTAAATTCAGCTTTCTCTTGCCCGTGGGTAAACAAGTACGGCCGCGCGAAAATTCTTGACAGGTAAATTATTATCTCGGGAACCATGGAGTCTAGGAAACTGAAATTTTAGGGTAATGACCTCCTGCCCACGCTCAACTTTGTTTAAATTCAGCGTTCCCGCGCTCTCGGGTATCATCTACGGGCCAGTGAAAGTTTTTACGGGTAAATCAACATCTCATTAACCACGGAATCTAGGAAGCTGATATTTCAGGGTAATAACTCCCTGCCCACGCTCAACCTTGCCTATTCAAATTCAGCGTTTCCTCGCTGTTGAGTATCACCTACGGTCTCGTGAAAATTTTGGTGGTTGAACTATTAACTTGGGATTCACGGGAAGATATTCACCCTTCAAGGTTTCGAATTCAGCTTTCATGCGCAGATGCGTGAAATTTCTAAATATTTTTCAATGTTTGAACTATTTTGCATAGACTAAAGTACAACGCAGTGAAAATCATTAATAAGCAATCGTATGATGGGCTGAATTGCACAAAACGCATGTTTGCACCGGCTAGTCTGGTGTGCGCTGCTATTTATTTGTCTTCATTTTCTCCTTTTCTGTTTTGTACAGTAGCGCTGTATAACATTTTCTGGTTAGCTTTAAATAAATATTTTAATAAATGGTAGTCGAGCACACACTAGTCAATGCATAATTCATAGGCATAATTCATAATTCGGTTTGGTTAGCAGGCACAGCGTAGTATAGCGCTGCTGCCATGCGGAAGTTTAGTGTTCGTCTTTAACACAGAGAAACAGTCATGCGCTCTACCATTTGCTTATTCGTTTCAATCAGTAGTGACGTATGCTTGGAAAAAGGTGTTACCAACTGTAAGCAACTTTTGATTGCAAGGGAGGAAAAATTGGTAGAAGGAGGGCGAGGGGAGGGGGAAGGACAACTTATATCCGTAGCCTTATCAGCGAGTGGTTGCTGTTGGCACTTACTACTATGCGGAAGTTTCCGGGGGCTTCCGTCTTGTTCATTATGCGGAAAATCTGACATTGAATAATGGTTCTCCGCACATATTTCCAAGTTCGGCTCGGGTACATGGTGAAGCTTCACCTCCCTCCTCCCCCCTCCCTCCCCCGCCCCTTCTTTGCAGTTCCAGTATTACCTCAAAATTAAACTTTTTTTACTTAAAAAGGCATTCAATACTGTATGTGATATCTAGCGGTTTGGTAATTTTACTCACTTAGATTAGCTATTGTTTGATAGTCGCTTTTCGTAAAGACGAGGAAAAAAGATGGAAAACTGGAATACTGTAATAAGAAGTTGTGTAAACAGCCTTTATAGGCTCCCGCACGGTAATGTGTGAAACAGTTGTATAGCATGGGCGGTTAAAAACAGAAGTAGGAACATAGGCGAGTCCAGTGGGTCTTTCGCCTCTCCCCCCTCCCCCCGCTCACCTCCACCCA